GGGGGGGGGTCTGAATTGAGCGATCAATTATTAGACCCGGACGTCCCAACACTTGCTTCGCAAGACAAACTCAAGGTATCCCCTAAAGGGCTACCTTTCGTGACTAGGTGCACCTCGCAGCATTCACCCGGCGGCTATCACTCAGTCAGCCCAGATGCCACTAGTTGCAGCCCGGTCTGCTAGGACATTGTCAGAATCGCAGCACGGTCTAGACTCCAGGGACCAACCCTTATCAGTCTCTGCATCTGCTGGTCTCAAGAGAGCTCAGTTAATTAATATGAATCAATTGCATGGGTGATGGCCTGTATACAGCAACCAGAATCTACCCCACGACCCCTGACCAACACGAAGTTCATCTCAAACTATCTCCTTTTGTCTGCATGAACTCCCCCATTGCTTCCAACATGTTTGGTTTCTGCAGCTCGCCGTTCACATTGAATATATATATATATATACAAATACACAGTTGATTCTGTTGCACCTGTTGCACATCAATTTCAGAATGCACAATATGCAGTAAGATTTTGTTCGCGGGGGTATGTCAAGAATCTGCGACAAACCGAAAAGAGGTGCATTCGCCGAGGCACATAGAAGTTTACCCGGCGTTTGCCTCCAAATGCCTGCCGCGAGCGCCACACCAGCCCATCCAACAAAGTCCAAAGCAATTTTGGAGCCGAAATGCCTCAGCAGAGTTTGAGGAAGGGAAGTCTCTGGTGGAGACCGTGAAGAAGTTCGGGGTAGATTAGAAAGTAAGTCGTACAAGGGGGAGTCTTCAAGAGGGCGGGAGAAGTTCGCTCTGTATGAATCTCAGCGAAACCCTCTCCCTCTCGCTCTCTCGCTCTCTGTCTCTGTGTCTCTGTCTCTGTCTCTCTGTCTCTGTCTCTGTCTCTGTCTCCATCTATCTATCTATCTATCTATCTGTCTATCTGTCTATCTGTCTATCTATCTATCTATCTATCGATCTATCGATCGATCGATCAATCTATCTATCTCTATCTATCTATCTATCTATCTATCTCTATCTATCTATCGAATCGAATCGAATCGAATCGAATCTAATCTAATCTAATCTAATCTAATCTAATCTATATAATCTAATCTAATCGAATCGATCTATCTATCCTAATCTATCTATCTATCTATCTATCTATCTATCTATCTATCTCTGGCGGGCATGACTCGTCCCTGAGTCGTCTGACAGAGACGCCCAACTGCAACTGTAACTTCCCCGAAAAGCCGGAGACCAAGGGGGCAAGACGGACCCAACATGGGAGACTAAGAGCGAAAATGCAAACATCTGCCGTAGCAGAGACAAGACGAAAAAGGCTGTGCAGCCATCCGCAAAATCTCTCTCTCTCTCTCTCTCTTGGGGTGCTGACACGGAGATGCTGAAAACGTCTATGCTGTACACTGCCCGGATGCAACTCAAGGTGGACAAAGGGGTACAGTGGTTTGCTGCTCAGTCTAAGTACGTCAAAGTATATGAGACGTTTACATGACCGAACAGCATGCCATGATGTATATTATATAAGTGGGGTTCCTGTGTGACTGGGCGCTTTACCTGAATGATACTGATTGATACAATTCTGCATTCCACGAAACATAGGCGTTGGATCACTTCTGGATGCCGTGCGAAGAGCTCATCCGCACCAAAATAGTACTTGTCTCCTTGAAGTCTTTAGTTGAAAGCACCCCAACATGACAATGTCTGTAGACCTACAAAGCCTTGCTGCATTGCTTGTTCCCAAAGTTCTTCTCTGGCTACTTTCGGCTCAAATGCGTTAAATTGAACCAGGTTGAGACAGGATAGCTAGTGCAAAGCCGAGTCTCGATCAGCGCGAATGGTCAGTAGATCTTCAATCATCGCTTTCGCACATTCCAGGCTTCCACTGTCTATGGCCCAATAAAACGGTGATATTGACTGAGTGCCCACCGTGATGTTGAGCAACTCTGTTGCCCGCTTGCTACGTGGGGCAATGGCGATTGCTTTTCTAAGCGCCCTGGCTGAATTGGTGTTGATGGCCTTCATGACCTCAAATGCAGTGATAATCAAACAAAGATTCACATGAATGGCTTGCAGCTCGCAGCGCGCTCGCAGCTCGAAGTAAGAACTTGATCGAGCGACAATTGTACTGCCTTCCAGAATTGTGCGGACCAAAATCTTGGAGACCAACGTCCTAAGAGTGTCTGAAGCGTCACGGCACATCCTATAGGCAAGCCGAAGCATTTCTAGTGCTTAGTGTGTGACTTGAGCAATCTGGATCGAGGTATGCAATATGTGAAACCAAGAATGCCCAATAATATTTACTACATTGTAAACAGCAACTTTCTCTCATATCTCCCAGCCGCCTAGCCACCTCTAAATGTGTGCCCCTTCCAAGTCTTCTCTAAATCTAAGATCGGTTTCTTGCAGCGGGTTCTCCTCTAGATCGAGGGGTGCTACCAGTCAGTCACCCCACACGGGATGCCAAATGCCGGTCTCTCCAAGCTTCAGAGACCAGCGGAATGCACCTTCAGCCATGTCATCTGAAGTCTTCTCTCGCACGGTCTCCACAGCGCTGGAGACGAAAGGGGCAAAGAGCTCTGTAGGGATGGCGTAACCCACATGTCGCAGCCCGAGTGCGGAAATGTCCTTTCAGCTCTGGGCCATTGCAACTGCGAAATTTGCTAGTCCCTTTCACAGGTTCAACCTATGGTGACTCTTCTGTTTGCACAGCAAGATTTGGTCATGGAGTCATGCAAGTCAATACAAGTTAAGATAAGTGCCTCCACCATAGCACGAGGTTGCTGGTACATTTCCATGGTCATCTCGATGATCTTGTCAGCAATAAAGTAAAGTCTGGTGGTCGATTGCTTGAAATGATCTTGTCCAGCTGGTGCGATCTGGAAAAACCTCCACATAGCACGCATCAAGCCAATAGCATTGCAAACTGGACTAAATCCATCCAACAGCTTTGCATAGCGAAGGAAAAAACGGTGTATACGTCGCATGCTAGCACAAGGATACATAAGCTGTCGCCTCACAAGGCATGCATTGATGGCGTACAAACTGAAATCCTAAAGTTTAAAAGAGAGGTTGGCTCTTTATGCTACGATTGGCTCAGCGCAGGTCCATCTGTCCGTGATTTCTTAGTGTCCGGAGTGATGTGCATAATATGTGAATATGTGCTCATTCAAGTGAAGAAAATGTGAAGAATGTGTGAACATGTGTTATATGTTTTGAAAACAAGCACCTCAATAGTATTCAACAAAGCCCCCTTCAAGTCTACAACGCCTTAGGCCGAGTGCATCTAGAGTGGACATCACATCATGAGGCGTCACTGACACTAAAATCGTGCCTCTGGTAGATGTTCCGCCGCAGGTTGTAGATATCATCCTGTGTAAGTGAGGCGATGAAGCGACCCAAGGCCTTTTCTTGCTGCGCTGGCTTGCCCAGGTTGGCCTTGATCATGCGCTCTACGTTCCTGAGATTGCGACTGCGGCCGGGAAGAATGGAGATACTGCGAGATCCCTGAACAGAACCGCTTGAACGCGGTAGCACAACAGGGTCACCCCAACAATTTAGGCAAGGCTCTCCCACAACCAGTTCCAGGCAACCTCATGATCTGAATCCCACTCTTTGGGCACCAGGGACCGCAGCGAGGCTAGCATCACGGCCTCAAACAAAACTCAACCACTGACATCGCAAAAACAAAACGGTGTCTATGCTATTCATTACTGCGACCCACGTTCTCACAAAAGAATTATGCTCCTAGGTCTTAACCCTAGCCGTTGTCACACATGATGGATGCAACAAAAAAGGACAGCGACAGCTCAGCTTCCGAATAGTTGTGCAGACGCCTTGAATTCCGATAGTTGAATCTGCCCTGGCTGCTTGTCCAGAACCAAGGTCAAAACATCGCATTCTTCTTGCCTCAGAGCGCGCTCTTGCGCAGCGTTTTGCTCTACATCAAACCCTTTGATAGAGTTCCTCTCTCGTGCGAAGTTCAAACGCCAGAATCGAGGATCAGGACAAGCTGCAGGCGGTAGGAGTTCGCCACATTGGTCACAATGTTGTGGAACTGCTCAAGGATCACCTGACCAAGGGCAGAGTTAAGAGTGAGTCTCCAGAGAATCTCTGCAAGGCTCTTTATCAGACCTGCAACAACGCTGACCCTTAACAGTTAAGCAGGAAAAACTTTTGCACGGTTTGTTGCTTCAGGATTTTGCAAGCTCTCAAGCTCTGCTCTGGCAGAAAGAGCTTGTTCAACTCTTGGGTTTCATGGAGAAAATGCAAACAGCACAGCAACTTCATGTTCCTTTATCCTGTCCAAGTTGCAGACATCCAGCCGTTCTCTCCCAACCCCATCACTGCAGCATTGAAGAGGAACATCTCATTGAATGTGGTAGGCACCTGCACTCTACAAAAGAAAAATTCTCATAATTTAGCATGAACCGATGTCAAACAGGAATTGCCAAAAACCACTTCAGGCCAATAGGGGGACGAAAGGTCGCTGGGCATGGGAGAGACAAGTTGGTATTGGAGGTCCTATCCTAGCGGGCATTTCACAACACATCTACAACTTACCACATCGCATATCGTCACATTAAACATTGCCACATCACAAATTCCTGGGCCACACTTCACTACAACACAAGTCGCCACCTGCCACCGCACCACTACGTGCCACTTCGTTCTAAAGTAGCAAGGAAAACTCAAGTCAAGTAGCCAATCTACATGTTTGTGAAATAGTCAAACAGGCCGACTGTCATTGAATCCAAATAGAGGCAGCAAGATGTGCACCCGAGACAGTCAAAGAATCATTCTACGCAGGCCTTCACATTGTTCTTGCCTTTGCTGTCACCACCGGCCATCATGGTTGTGTTGACTCCACCTGTGGCCGGATTTGTGTCCTTCTTTTGTGTGGTCGCAGTCTGGGCCTCGGCGGCGAGAAGAGGAAGTCCACACCACTATACCAGTTCTTTCCGAGGCATTCTCTTGACTGCACGTTTCGTTTTAGATCCCTTGTTCCAGCCTGCCCCTCTGCAGTAACACTGGTGGTGTTGCCCTCACCAGTCTGCGTCTCGTGCAAAGCCTTCACATGAGGATCCTGCCCGCGTGAGTAGCACGTCACACTCAGGACATCGGAGCACAATAGGCTACGCTCACACAGGCCAACAGCTCCCCCACCGATGCCCAAGGCACCTCCTCTTCCTCTTCTACCTTGTTGGCAGTTCTCCAGCTGCGCTGGATGATTCTGATGCGGGATGCATACTCACGACGGATGTAGATGAATGCTCCTCCAGCATAGTTTAGAAGGACCTCCATGAGCAGGCTGAAGCAATGGTTTAATGGTTTGGAGAAACAGGTCTGGACGTCATTGCTTACGGGCACGCGCACACGCACACACACACAAACATAAGGCTAAGTATGCACATCTAAATGTAACAACATGTTCTTCACAAATGGATACCAATGGTTGTGGTGTGTGCTTGTTAAGGTGCAAATGCAAGATCTCTCAACTCTCATCATGCCAGCACCCAGCACTTGCAAGAGCCTGGAGTCCAATCTTGGCTTTCGTGGTGAGTCGTTGGCCCATCTCCTCAATTGACCAGTTGAGCTCATTGACGGGCTATGGGATCTACGGATGGACTGGTCGTAGAATCATAGAGCCCAGATTCGTGGAACTAACAGTGACGAGTGGAAGGAACAGCATGGATGGGCATTGTGAGTTCCTCACAGATGGCTTCATCCCATTAAACCTCTGTCCGAATTCTTGCCATGTCACCATGTCAAACAAGTCCACGATTGCATCGCGAAAAATACCCACCCGCGGGACTGTGACTTCCAAGTCCAAATGCTGAAAGCCCAAGCTCCTTGGCTCATGGGTGCTCATGGCAAATCTTTGCAAAATTCAACAACACAAGGATAGGTTCGGTGGCCGCTCTCCTTCTTGTCAGGTTGTTCAAGAGACATCTACGGTTGCAAACGTTTGACAGAAACACCAGGAAACACATGGATGGCCAACACTGCCGGGTCGCTCTACCTGGTTCTTCAGCTGTTTAGCGTCCTGAGCTGATGCCACAATGCTTGTCAGGCCGTTCCTTGGTGGGAAGCAACATTCAAGCCATCAAGCCGCTGGCACTGCAATGCCAAAGGCGTCCAACGGCGCCAAGTGTAATTACTGCGCATACTTCTGTGCTACTTCGCTTCACTCATGTGCCAGGAGGCCATCGCTATTAGGTTGGAGGCCATCGCTATTATTAGGTTGGAGGCCGTCGCTACTAGGTTGGAGGCCATTGCTATTAGATGGGAGGCCACACTAGTAGGTTGGAGGCCATCGCTATTAGGTTGGATGCCATCGCTACTAGGTTGGAGGCTGACAGCGTCAAAGCGCGCAAAGTAGCGTGCACTGCAGCCAAAACTCATGAAGCGCATTGCCATTACGGACCTGAAAGCAGTGACCAGGTCCATCAAACCCCATGTTCATTGATTTGATCCTGGAGTTCCGAAGTGTTACAGGCAATTAAGCTCAGCTCAGCTCTTGTTCTGATCGGAGCTGAGAGCCCAGCCGAGCGGTCTTGAACAAGCTCTGCAGGCTCGGCGCGGCATCAAAGACTGCCGCGTAAATGGCTTCGCCGGCAGCGTCGCCTGACGGGTGGCCGAACGGCAAATCAGGCCACTCTCAACCATTCGGCCTGACCAACAAATTGCCGAATTTGCCCAGTGACGTCCATTCAGCTGCCCCACGAAAAAGTGCCACGCTTCTTGTGCTTCGGCCATGATGGCTTGAGGAAACGGCGCCTCACAGGGCACACAAACCTCAATGTCGAAAGTGCCCTCAGGCTATTTCATTCATGCAAGGGATGCGTGCGCATTCAAAACCACTACCACATGCCTCTTCAAACGTTGCTTCATTGACCTCCATGTATTTCTGGACGTATCGGTCTGCTTCAAATTCGGCCTGGGATGCTTAGTCGAGACAGTTGCGCGTGTTGGCCTATCATCAAAAGCTCTGCCAATGCTAAGCTGCCGTGAGCTCATTGGGAATCTCCTCATTTGCAACGCCATCTTCCGCCTCTGTGTCGATCTCTTCGATAGCTTCATCTTCCTGCCCATGATTTACTTTCAGTATGTTGAACACTGCAAGCCTTCATACAGTTAGCGGAAAAGTCAAAGCTTCGGACCCTCGAAAAATGACCAATGTTCTGCATCATGCAGGATCACAGCCAACAGCAAGAAGGGAAGGCACGGAGCACTGTTATCTGCGTAGAGAAGCAACTCAAGGGGGTCCCGAATTCTCTCAACTGAAAGCGAAACAGGGCATTGACAAAAGTGACAGAACCATAAGGCGGATAAATTTTAGGTGGTACAGGTTTGAAGCGGTAACCCAAAGCTTGTTTCGATCAAACGACATCTTCAGCATATGATTTGAATATACTGAGGATTTCCTTGTAGTCATAGTTTGGGATGTTGTGAAACGTGGTCACTGTGGGTTAACACTGGTTCTCATGTAACTGTAAGATTGGGCAACAATACCAGGCCTCAACAACGAGCCTGCTAGAAAACACGAAAGTCTTCCAGAAACGACCGCAAGCTGATCTTCCTAGATGTTTGGAATACCTAAACTTTCCAACTGTCTCCTGTATTCCATTCATTCTTGCTTACTGCTTACCATATGATGTCGTATGAGCAGAGTCTTCTTCCGATGTCGTGCCTCCACTTCCTCCGTCTCCCCGTGGTCATCGGAAGAGTCAGACATGGCAACAGCGAGTTGGAGGCTCGGGTGTTTGCCCGGTAGCTTCCCTTGCTGTCCGGTATCAGCCAAACTGCAACGGGCAAAGTATCACGCTGTCGGAATACTCGATGAAGTTCAACGATGTTTTTTTAAGCCCACTCCGCTCCTCCCTACTTAATCAAGTTAGGGAGAGGTAGGTACTACCTGCAAGTAGCTACTAGTTACTAGCATGGACGCAGGATAGCTCACACTTCTTCAAGGAAGCTCCCCCCGCCCGCCCTAAAGGCGGCGGGGAAGCTTCCTTGAAGAAGCGCTCGCACATGCTCGCACTAATCATAATGATGTGGTTCCTCTATTTTTAGAGAACTTTACTGTGCTCATTACTAACACATTGGCTCAACAATTCCTATTTCAACTGCATTGCAGCAGTTTGATAAACATACCATGCGATCAAGCCAACCCCGCTTATTTCCAACTTGTGAAACGGAAAAGGATGTGGCCTTGTTGGCCAGCCCTCTCGAAAACGTTCATTGAGGAGGACGTCCATCCCCCACTTCATGTCTGGGCTTGACAGGCCGGAATTTGTGCGGCCTGGTGTTTGGCATGCAAAGCTGTCGCAAACTTTTCTCAAGTGTAAAGGCTTTACATAGTTCCCATCACAGGGCCTATGTTGTTCACCTGCACTGAACTTGCATGCCAGAGTTTCCCTGTCCTGTGCCAAATGTTACACCAAGAATGGTGCATGATAACACGCTGGCATCTGGAACTGACTGAGGGTTCCAAGTGTGCTAGCTGCTAGCTACGAGATGCTACGAGCGGCCACGGCACTTGCCCATTGATCTTCTGAGCAAGCGGCAAGCGGACCCCTCCAGCATACACACGTTGGTGGCTTTGATGATAGCTTGTGGCAAGAATTCTTCCATGCTGGAGAATCAAGACCGCATTGCGGGGGTTCTTTGCCAAGCCGAAGCCTGCACTAATTCACGCCATTGGCAACTGCCAGTGCGTTCAAGCTGGAGCGGCTAATTTAGGACATTCTAAAGCAAACTGACAGACTTGTCCATTCCACTGTTTATTGGCTGACAACATTGCAAATTGCACTACAAATCGGCATGACCGAGCAAACCATTCTGTCTTAGTGAGGCTGAGTCGAAGCCCAGGAGCTCCAAAACAAAAGCACGCACTTTCTGGCGCACTACATTCCGTTCCTGACAGCTGGTGGTTGATTGAACATAAATGCTCAATCACATACTTGAAGAAGAAAGAACTGGGTCAAAGTGACTGGCGATTCCTGGCGCGACATGGCGCGACATGATATTCCTTTCATGATCCTCCAACATGCAGTGGTCAAGAAAAACAGATCTACGACCAAATTTGCAGCCTTAATGATTATATATACATTGGAACACATTGATATGATTCATGAGTTGAGCCAGTTGCATTTGAGGCCAACATGCTGAAGAATTCAATGGCTAAGCGGCTAAACCTCTGAGAGTCGAAAGGATCCCTCCAAGCACGCTCTCGGGCGCGCGGTGCACCTTACGAGGAGGCATCGGAGGAGCCGTTGTCACTGGTAGCCACTGCGGATGACGCGCCACTCACGCCACTAGTGCCCCCGCGATGATTACCACCTGGGCGTGTTGCAGTGTGCATGGCAAGCCTCCGATCCTAGAATTTCCGACAGCCACAAGAGACATGAGTCATGAGTGAAACACGCCTCGTCCCTTTCCCAGGTTTTTCGTGGTGCGGATGATCAATTTTTCCTTGGGACGTCAAGCTGACACTGTCACATCTTGTGCTGCATGCAAATCGCGCCATCAAGTCTCCAGTTTTTCGAACTTGTCTTCTGCACCGTAGTCACCTGGAGAGCAATGAGCAACTTGTGGCTAGGTTGCTCCATCGGAGTAGCCAAGCCAAGCAACGAAACTTGCTCAAGTTTTCAAGCTTATCACAGTTTAGACAATCTCTCAGCTCTGGTGGGTGTTTCTTCGAAGAACATGTGGTGAAAACCGGCTGAAGTCGACTTCACCACCTGGTTCTTCAGGCCAAGGCATGCTAGGAGCTGTGGAGCCCCCATAGCGGCGGATGGATTCCACGCTGGTGGGCTTAAGATTCCCGGGCTCTGTGACCTCGGTTCGCGAAGTTCGCGACCCTTTTCTTTGGGTCGAACCACATGTTTGCATATGCCTTTGCTACCCGTAGCCCCTTGTTCCTAGTAGTGCCAGGAGCTACTAGTAGCGTCCTTGCTCCTAGCTACTAGTAGCTTACTATTTCTGATTATGTATGTAAACAATTTGCATAAATACATATACATCAAACCACTCGAAGTTTGTCCACGCTGAGTTTTGAAGTGCCATAAGTGGTACCCCCCGGCAAACTAACATGGAACCCGAGAATTGACCCTTGGAAGATAATTTTCCTCTACAACCCAGTGGTTTTGGGGTTCCATGTTAATCTGCAGGAGAGTAAATGCCTGGTGCACTCTGCAGTGCTTGGAATCCGACGGTGTAAATTCTGCTCAAGGCTTGGGTACTCTCAGTTTCTAAATTAGTGTTCCGTATGTGATCTGCCTTGGACTCAATCAAGTCACACTGCTCGACTTTTATCAGATGTAATGTATGTTGTGATACTAGTCATACACAATCCATCCCCCAATGAGTTGCTGCCCACAGTGCCTGCACGCCTCCAGCAACTCCGACATCACCTTCATTGAACTCCTCAGTTCAATCGAGTGCCCGGGTCTCCTTGTCCACCAACCACTACGATGTCTTTCGCAAAAACAATTGAAGCTCACTGCACACCACCCGTTGCAGGCTGAAGGTTTGACAGGTAGTGAAATTAGGTGAGTGTACAAGCTGGTTGTGCTACGGTGCGACGGAACCCTAGTAGCTTCTTGTTCCTAGTAGCGATGCCAGGAGCCCGTAGAAGCGTCCTTGCTCCTAGTAGTAAGGCCAGGAGCCCCTAATAGCTTCTTGTTCCTAGTAGCGATGCCAGGAGCCTGTCTTCTGTGAACTGTCTAGGTGTTTGATGGCCTTCAATCACAGTACAGTATGGGCACAGCCAGCCAGGGCCGCATCTTCGAACCGAACAGCAGACGTGCTCAAGGAACATGTGGCAAGGATTGCAAGCACAAACAGCTGGTGCACAAGAGCCATCAGGAGCTTCTTAACAAAGGAACAACAAGCACCGGCCCCAAGCCAGCAGGAAGACTACACGATGTAAATGATTTAGACAAGGAGCCACACAGTGCGTTACAGCATGTTACAGCTATCTGTGTATGTGTGCGTGTGTGTACCCTTGGAATCATAGGGATCCTTTCGGATTGTTTTAGCTTCACAGTTGTTTTCCTTGTGCAGCAGGGGGCATGCGGCCATCACGCAAACGCATGCCAACGAAGCTATGCCAGCTATGCGTGATGGTGGAAGCCAAGTCTGATCAACCTGGTGTACCTGCTTTTGAGAACCTAAGTGTGGCAAAAGCTGTCTCATTCTTTGTTGTGCAGTAAGCGGCTAATGCACCTTGGAGTACTTGGACCTTCAAAGCCCCTCGTCGACCCGCCGTTTCGTGGCTTTCGACCTTGGCCTTTAACTACAGGCGCTCAGGCCCCCTTACCTGGCTTTTCAGGATTTGGTTTCTTAGGCTGGCGAGTGGCACCAGTACACCCTATCCTAAGTGTGTTTGGCCTTGTGCCAACCCGGGATGAGCCCGCAGAGCGCCTCCCGTGGACCCGTTGAACGGGTGTACGTCGTTATCTCCCCTGCCCGGAGATGTAAATGCCCAGAGCGGGCGAAGGTGGCCTAGGCCGAGAGAACTCCGATTTTGTCCCATTTTAAGAATTCCAAGCTGGCTTATGCCTTTACGTTACCGTAGCGGTCAGAGGTGGCAGCCCTCGGGCAAGCCGTACGTGGTCGCAGCGACCGAAGTTTGTTCAAGGTTCATTGGAACCTGTCGCGAGCTTAGTCCCCTCTCCCCCTTCCCTTCCCCCTTTCTTTCTTTGCTTCCTGGGGTTTGCCTGAATGCAACACTCAGGATCACCCCTCTCTTTCTTTGGTGTGTCCCTGGACGCTTGTTCGTAGCTGGGAACACCTGCCTTTTTCTTTTTTCTCTCCTCTCCCTTTCTCTCCCTCTCTCTTTCTTTCTTTCCTTCTCTCTCTCCTTCCTCCCTCCTTGGGTGTCCCTGGATGCTTTTGTCATAGCTGGGAACCTTCTCCTCTCTTCCTTTGGCGTGTCCTTGGACGCAGGCGTCGTACTGGGAACACCTTCCTTTCTTTTCTTTCCTTTTTCTCGTCTCTCCCTACCCCTCCCTCTTGTCGGCACCTTAGCTTGGGACGCTACTAGGGGCTCCTGGCCTTCCTACTAGGTGTTAGGTGTTTCTTTGACGCTACTAGAGGTTCCTGGCCTTACCATTACTTGGGGACGAAGTACACGTCGTTGCCTCGTTGATTGGAATTCTTGACATGCTTGGAGACGAATTACAGCTGGTTGATTGGAATGCTTGCCCCTCCTTCCCTCCCTCTCTCTCTCTCCCTCCCTCTCTCTCGCTCGCTTTGCGCAAGCTAGCTTGGAGACAAAGTACACCTCGTTGATTAGAATTCTTGACATGCTTGGCTGACCCACCCCAGTCCCCGACCAACGACGAAGTGCACCTCGGAGACAAAGTTTACCTCGTTGATTGGAATTCTTGACATGCTTGTAGACTGATTGAAACGAAGTACACCTCGTTGATTGGAATTCTTGACATGCTTGGAGACGAAGTACACCTCGTTGATTGGAATTCTTGCCGCGCTTCCCCCTCCTTCTCTCTCTCTCTCTCTCTCTCTCTCTCTCTCTCCCGCTCGCTTTGCACAAGCTTGTTTGGAGACGAAGTACACCTCGTTGATTGAAATTCTTGACATGCTTGACTGACTCACCTCAGTCCTCGACCACCGACGAAGTATACCTCGTTGATTGGAACTCTTGACATGCTTGGAGACGAAGTACACCTCGTTGATTGGAATTTTTGACATGCTTGGAGACGAAGTACACCTCGTTGATTGGAATTCATGCAATCCACGTGTTTAAACATGTCCATCCTGATTCAGAAGTTATTGTTC